ATTACGACATATTCTAAATTTGACCGAACAAAAGAGGTATACAGTAATTTTAGCCTGTGGGGATCAGAAAATTTTGTGCTATTACGCCTTACGAAACCCAGCATAGAAAAAACTTTCAAGTCGTCAGCGTATAGCAAAAAATTAGCAAAAGAAAAGCAATTGCTTATGCCATTGATAAATAATATGAAGAGCAAAGGGCCTAATATACTCCCTTGAGGTACCCCAGAAGTGGCTATAAAAGGCTCAGAAGTTACACCTTCTACTGTGACAACACAACGCCTATCACTTAAATACGATTTAATCCAATGCAAAAAAGTTGAATGGAACCCCAAGGAGGCTAACTTACGAATTAAAAACGAATGACAAACTATGTCGAAAGCCTTCGAAAAATCTGTGTAAATGCAGTCAATTTGAAACCCTTCTGAAAAAGATGCAATGCAATACTCACTAAAAACTGCAAGATTGGTAACCGTAGATCGATTAGCAACAAAACCGTGTTTATAAGGCGAAATCAAACTCTTCGTTACAAAATTTAATTTTTCAACTACAATAGTTTCAAAAAGTTTATAATAATAAATATTGGCCTATAATTGCAATCACTTTTGTTTCCACTTTCAAAAAGAGGGTTGATGGAAGTTATTTTCCAGTCATCTAAGAAAACCCCAGATGCTAGAGACATATTATAAATTATTTTCAATGGGATAATTAAACCAGGACAGTTTTTAAACAGGACTGCTGAAAAGCCATCAATATCCGTCTTCATAGACAGTTTTAACTTGGAGATACCGTTGGAAACGTCATTGAATGACAAACTTAGGGATCCAAAACAAAAAGATGAATTAGCCGTAAAGTTAAAGTCTGGTGAGGGCGTGCAAATATCCTGGGTAAAATTCGAACCAAATAATTCAGCAAAAAGATTGGCGATATCTGCGGGACAGTGAGCATATTTGTCATGAAAAGAAACAGCAGATGGTATACCGGAACTAGATTTTTTCGCTTTAATGAAGTGCCAAAAAGACATCGGGTCGGATTTAATTTTTGATTCAACATCAAGCAAATAGTTTCTGTAAAGAAATTTTTCTAAACAACTAAATTGCCTTTGAAATTTTTTATATTTAACTAAGAAGATCTGGTTTCCAGTTGTTTTAAACCTTTTAAAAAACTTATTTCTTCGATTTTTGATTTTTTTTCATCTTAAATTATAGGAAACTTATGTGGACGTTTTTTAATAGCTGGAATGTTATTAACGCAAATCTCAAATAAAAGAGTTTTAAAAATAGAGAAAGAACTATATACATCAGGGCAAACCAAAATTTTTTCCCAATCAATTTCAGTAATTAAGCTGTTTATCATGGAAATCACACCCAGAATAATTAAAACCAACTATTTCGGTGGCAGGTGAATTCAAAAAGTCATAAAAAGCAAATCTGAGAACCAAAGGCACATGATGTTTATCGCAAAGAAATATAGGAGAGTAACATTCCTCAATGTTGCAATTGATGTTATCACTTACAAATACAAGATCAAGAATTCTATTTAATTCATTAAGAAAATTATTGATTTGCATTAAGTTAAAACTTAGAATATTATTAAGGAGATACGACTCATGATATGCTGTAATATTCATTGGGGTAANAAAAAGAGGGTTGATGGAAGTTATTTTCCAGTCATCTAAGAAAACCCCAGATGCTAGAGACATATTATAAATTATTTTCAATGGGATAATTAAACCAGGACAGTTTTTAAACAGGACTGCTGAAAAGCCATCAATATCCGTCTTCATAGACAGTTTTAACTTGGAGATACCGTTGGAAACGTCATTGAATGACAAACTTAGGGATCCAAAACAAAAAGATGAATTAGCCGTAAAGTTAAAGTCTGGTGAGGGCGTGCAAATATCCTGGGTAAAATTCGAACCAAATAATTCAGCAAAAAGATTGGCGATATCTGCGGGACAGTGAGCATATTTGTCATGAAAAGAAACAGCAGATGGTATACCGGAACTAGATTTTTTCGCTTTAATGAAGTGCCAAAAAGACATCGGGTCGGATTTAATTTTTGATTCAACATCAAGCAAATAGTTTCTGTAAAGAAATTTTTCTAAACAACTAAATTGCCTTTGAAATTTTTTATATTTAACTAAGAAGATCTGGTTTCCAGTTGTTTTAAACCTTTTAAAAAACTTATTTCTTCGATTTTTGATTTTTTTTCATCTTAAATTATAGGAAACTTATGTGGACGTTTTTTAATAGCTGGAATGTTATTAACGCAAATCTCAAATAAAAGAGTTTTAAAAATAGAGAAAGAACTATATACATCAGGGCAAACCAAAATTTTTTCCCAATCAATTTCAGTAATTAAGCTGTTTATCATGGAAATCACACCCAGAATAATTAAAACCAACTATTTCGGTGGCAGGTGAATTCAAAAAGTCATAAAAAGCAAATCTGAGAACCAAAGGCACATGATGTTTATCGCAAAGAAATATAGGAGAGTAACATTCCTCAATGTTGCAATTGATGTTATCACTTACAAATACAAGATCAAGAATTCTATTTAATTCATTAAGAAAATTATTGATTTGCATTAAGTTAAAACTTAGAATATTATTAAGGAGATACGACTCATGATATGCTGTAATATTCATTGGGGTAAGGCCAAAGTTTGAAAACGAACCGGATGAAGACACGTTGCATAGGTTAAAATCACCTAATACGCATAAGTGATAATCTCTTAACTTATTCGTGACTAATGGGCTAATATTATTAGCATGCGCGCAATAAAGTTCATTATTACTGTTTGGAGGAATGTAGGAAACCACGAAGTAAAGAGAACCCTTAGAAGAGGGCCCACTAATACAAATACAAAGTTGGTCAATAAGAGAGTCATTATTTGGTAAATCAACATAATATGAACACAACTTCCTCCGGACGGCAATAAGAACTCCACCGCCTCTTATACAGCCAGTTTTTATCATATCTCTATCCTTTCGGTACACATTATAAAACTTAGAGTCGAACAATTTCTCATCCAAAAAATTAGCATTAAGCCATGTCTCAACAATTACGTAAATGTCATAATCCAATTGAGAACTATGAGTATGAACAGCTTCAGCCTTGGTCCGAAGACCAGATACATTCTGAAAATACACTTTTAAGCTAGTACTACATTCAATAATAGCATTAGATAAATTTAAGTTAGTCTCTGTTGATGTTCTTTTTGGAAAAAAACGAAAAGGGCGCAGACTAACGTTAGCAGGCCAAATATCTGGTGAAAGAAGCTTTTCATAAAGTGGCAGAGATACACCTAACTTAAAATTAATCCTATTAGCTTTAACAGGCGGATTCTGTTTTTTAACTAAAGCATAACATGAAAGATGTTTTTTGTTTATACCAGCATGCCTAACTACGTAATCAACAATATTTTCTGCTGTTACGGATGGAAGGAAGGAGGACAAGTGAAACCATCTCTTCACATCCGCCACCTCCAAGTCAGTGTTAGAGCTCATTCCAGTGACAATCATCTGTTTGCGTTGTTTATTTTCCCACCTAACCTCTTTCCAATCCGAAGGCGCAGTGAATTCGCTTGTTTCAGTAGCTGGGTGAGCAGAAGCTGAGAACGAAGATGGCGATGAGGAATATGTATACGCAGTAGCAGCACTAGACGAAGGCGCAGAATTAGTAGCCATATCACCAACAACAGATTGCTCATAAGTCAAAGTAGTGAAAGCAGTCGTAGTCTCAGAGTTTACTGTGGAAGCAGGTAACTGAGCACTATTAGCATTAGAAGCAGCAACAATAGGCACGGTGTTCGGCTTGGTGACAGAAATTTTAGAGCCAACAACAGTAGATGTAGATGAATTATTGGCAGCATTGTCGGCAAGAAAAGACGAAACAACTGAAGTATTGATAGCAGGTATCAGCGAACTAGTCTGAGCAGCAATAGGAGCAGGCGAAGCAATAACAACTTCTTCACTGATTAATTTCACTACTAACCTTTAATGTTTTCATTATTAGCAAGTAAATCAGAAAGATCTTTATTGTCGATTTTAGCACAGATTTTATGAAATTTGCTTTTGCACGCTTGGCATGAGATTTCATAGCCAATACGAACGGATTTAAAGCACTTAGAGCACTAAGAGTTTCCATAGTGGCAGCGAAATAAAAACACGTCTTATCACTCCGACGACTGACCCATTAATTAAATTAATTAAAATTGTATCGTCTCAAGATACATAAATTTCGCAGCATATTTGCACATATATGTAATTCCCGAGGGGCCACATATTTCCCCTTAAAGCAGTGTTTGCATTGCTCAACTTTTTTGATATTTTTTCATATTTTTTATATTTTTAACCATTCAACTTTTTTTCGTGCAACCCTGCGCTGAGTTGAACGCAAAGTTGAACAATGCAAATACACTGTAACCCAAAAATCCGCTAGCAAAATTTACATACGTAATACAATTACATACATACATACATACGTATATAAACACCAAACCCCGTCTCTACTGCTCACTCATATTGAACATAAGTCTCGAATTTCCGATCGGGTACCGGCCGTTTTCGCACCGTACGGGATTTTAGCTATTTACATGCATATGTACACAAATTCATTTAACCCCTAAAACTCTCAAATTCTCTGGCGCTCCAACTCAAAAGTTTGCGCGCGAAAACTCCGTTGTATACTTGTACTTACATCAATAAGTACATACATACAGATATATGTACATTTATATACCCAGCGCCGGTTGTCTTTCCCGCTATAGGCCTGTATGCAGTTCTTAAGAAAAGCTAAAATTCCATACAAAATGATGTACAAGAAATGGCTAAGAAATTTTCTTAAGTCAAATTTCCTTCAGGCAGTACGCAGTTCTTAAGAAATCTGCTACGCTTTTTTTTAATTTTAAACTTACATCTAAGAAAACTTTATGCAGTGCTATAATTACGATTTGAGTTTTCCAGGTTATAAAACAGAAGCGTTAATTATGTATTTAGCTATTGATATTATTCTTCATAAAGCATTGATATTATACTTAACCTACATTTTGTTCATAAATAACATAGATTCAACGAATACGGCATTTGACATTGGGAGGGCAAATCGGACAGTTTTTTTTACCTAAATTATGTTCTATACATTCTACATGAAAAGCATGTTGGCACAGAAAATAAATCGCAGGTAGGGCCAAACTGTGATCGCAGATTACGCAGGTGTTTTCTCTGACCTCAATAGGACGGGTTCTAAAGTTTAATAAGTAGGAATTTAAAGCCCGCAAAGAAGAAAATAATGGTGTTATCGAAGGCTCAAGTTTGTTCTCGGATATTTTGTTATTAAACATTTTTTTTATGCTAACCACTTTGAAGTTTTTTCGTATTGAAATTCCTTGAACTATTTGCAACATCGCTTGGTTACACTTCCTCAATACTTTTCCTATTATTCTATCAACGAATTCAATTCCATCATCTGAACTACAGTTTATAGTTTCGAATGCCTGCACAGTTAAATTCGGGCTCAGGTAGGTTACTTTGTTCAAATTTATAGGAATATCAAAGTCACAATACTTAATGCAGTATTTTAAGCACAACTGAAATATCTTATATTTTCTATGTAAATAAATTACACCAGGCCAGAACGAGTAATTGGCAAACAAAACCATAATCTGATCCGAATATCCCGTATTATAATCCTCCAAAAATTGTATTATCTCGGAAACATTAATATTTCCATTGTACCATTCAAATAAAAGTAACTCTAATAAAAGGTTGATCACTAACGGCCTTTTTTGAGACAACGAAACTAAATATTCTAAAAGTTCAACAAATGTATCTTTTGAAGCTATTAACAGGGATACACTATGCTCGGGATTTTCCGTCATCTTTAGCGCATTAAAAACCTTACCCCAGTATTCTGAAATTGTTTTAGGGCAATTTCTAATTAACTGATCATAGAGACCATCAGATTTATATCTTGAATAAATGTTACTACTAACTAATTTTGTATTAAAATTTTCTGCTATAGTTAAAAAAGTGTTATTATTATTACTAAAGCTATATTTTTTGTTATTAAACTTATACTTTAGATTTTCTCTTCTGTTGCTAAGCTCAAAAAGTTTCGTTTCTAAAATGGGTGCTTTGCCAGTTATTGCCAAAGCGTTTATATATGTCATTAACTGACTGTTATACCTGGAATCAATTAGTTTTTTTATAATAAGGTAAGAACTAATTAGTCCTATTGCTGCCTTATATTTACAATTGGCGGAATGTAGGTCGCCTTTATTCAATAAATAATTACCATATTTTAACATAACACTTCCTTTAAGATTAACCATTCTGTTATCAATTTCGTTAAGAGCAAGCCCATAAAGATTACCATTCATTAGCACCTGCAATTTGCATTGAATGCTCCTCTCAGTGGTAATGTAGATATTGTTATCTATTATAATATAGCAGAACATTTCGTTAGATACCAGAGTGTTAATATTTTTAATTTCTTTTTGAAAAACGATTCTTTTTTTGTTAACATCTATTATAACAACATAATTCTGCCTTTTTTCCTCTGGTTCTATTAATATGACAATATTGTTTTTTATGGAAGCAATTGCTTTTTTCTTTCCATTTATGGCGTAACAAGGTCCCCTGCCATCTATTGTAAAACAATAAATTGCATCCTCTTGGCCAACTAAAAGGTATGCATTTTCCGCATTATCTTGAAAAGCACAACAACTAATCAAATTTTTTGGCGCATCTAAAATCGTTTGCATATACATATTATCGACTATTTTATATAACCAGACATATTTTTCCGCGCAAACAAACATATAAAGTATATCCATTTTCTCTTGAAACTCAATACCGATAATGCGACTTCTGACCGTGGAAATACAAGTGAAATTTGGTGTCATATCCAGACATAAAACAGAAAGATGAAAAAGCAGTTCACCAGTATCTAATCCAATAGAAATACATATCAATCCATCACTTGGCAAACATCCATTAACGGCAGTGACACATCCTGTTGAGGTAAGTTGTGCTGAGCCAACGCAGGTTGGTCCCATCCGTTTGATGATACAGTCTATATTTAAAACATGAACGTGTATCCTGGTAGATATATCGTCTTGCGCTACGAGGATCAGAAACTCGTTATTGTTTGTGAGAGCACAAAACTGTATATCATTGATATGGTGACGAAAGATGACTTCCTCCGAATTTTTAAAACAAAGGTGAATAACTCCTTGTATATCGCAGAAAACATACATACTTCCATTTGTACAATGCGCGACTATGTTTGCCTGCATATCCACTTTACAAAAGTTTGACAGCAAAGCCAGATCATAGAATTCACAATACCTCCATTCTAGAGCACTCATTTTATCCACAAATTTAAAATTTGTTAAACCAATTATATGCGGAGGATAGAGTGTCAAACTATCGATGGCACTATCGATAGTTTAAATTTTTTTTTGGACTATCAATACTCATTGATAGTTTTTTCTTATACTAAGGGTATTCATCAAACCTTATAAATGCATTGTAAATCGTATAAACTTATAATTGTGTAAACCTTATAAATGAACTGTCAAAATTTGTATGGAAACTCGCTTCCACATTTCTGATAAATTTATCCAGCGATTTCACCGAATAAACTTGATAAACTGAAGACAATGCAACTCTGTCGCAACTCTAGCTATGTTTTCTGAGGCATAATCGGGATCCGCATACAAATTTTGCACGCAAATTCAACAACGATATGATCCTGATAGAGATCTGGTTCAATTATTATCCCGTCTGTTTGTTTTGTTTCACTGATAATTCGCAAAGTTTGGTAGCCGTGACAATGAATTCATACACAAACAGACATTCTGCCATTGTTTCTTATAACTTGCTTCAAATAAATAGCCTTTATGTTATATGTACATTTATTTAAATAGAAAAATATCAAATAAAATATCAAAAATATCGATAGTTTAGTAGGACTATCGATTATCACTCCCAATTTTTTTGAAATTATAACTACATACAAACCAACAATACCAACAACCACATGATCAAGAGAATTGCAGCGGAATAGCTGCGCGTGATTGTGTTGGCATAACAAAAATGAAAATAGTGGAAATAAGCAAACGATAATTTACAAGGCGTACTTAGCACGGTGCATAGGCAACTGGCTGAGTCAGTGGGATCGTCGGTTCGAATTCTAGTGAAAGAAGTCTGATGAGGAAATGTGGTGATTTCCGAAATAGCTATCACTTCTACCATTTTTTCAAATTAACGATAAGGTTCTTTTGTTCAGATAAAAATAAATAGTAGGGGGCTTGGGGTCATATGCCCCTCTTCCGGCAACACAGAAAGGAGAGTTCTACGTAGTGAGGGTTATAATCCCTAAGTGCGGCCGAAGGCCGCGTACGCAGAAAGGTGCAGTTGGCTTTCCTTTATGGCCAACCAAAATAGCCATCACTGGGGCGCCAGCCCCAGGTTTACCACAGAAAGGGAATTCTAGTTACCTCATCCTTTTCCAAGGTTACATCACTGGGGCGGTAGCCCCAGTTAGGTCACACAGAAAGGAGAATTCTACGTAGTAAGGGTTATAATCCCTAAGCGCGGCCGAAGGCCGCCTACGCA